CTGCGGGGGGGGGGAGGGAAAAACTGCGCAAAAATTTGCTGAAATAATCAGGTTTTATGTGGTCAAACGGTTTTGTTTTGGGCAAAAACAACCTGGAAAACAAAACTGCCTGTGAAATTTAGTGGCTCTGAAAGCCCTGTTCAGAAAAACAAGGAAAAAGGATGCTTCCATCTTTATATTTAGCTGTTACTATTTTAATGTTTTATCCTTTAAAATCATTGTATTGAAAAAAGTTAGATACAAAGTTCTTACTCACTGATTTACATTCTATACTCTGCTTTGCCGTACTGTTCTGATTACAGCAGTAACAGCAGCTTTAGGAATAAATTCCATAAATTAATTCTGAATAGACTAATGTTCCTACTTACGCCTTGTAAGATGCTGTTTCTAATGAATAAGCAGTACCGCTATTTCCACTAAAATATACCAGTTTTAGAAAATTAAGCATATTATCTTAATCTAGACGACGGTGTGCTTAGGAAGTTAAGAAGGAAGTCGCACCACCGTCTCACAATCTTTTTAGGTAAGCAGCAATGGGAAGAGAGAAAGGACATCCTTTTCCATTGCTGCCTGCCAACTCCCATGTAATAAATAACTACTGCTCTTAATGCCCCGATTGTTCTGTCCTGCCCTCCCTCTCCAGGAGCCCCGTGAACGCATCCTGTCAGTGAGAAACCAGGGCTGCAGTATTTGCCTGGGAATAGCACTCTCTAGCGGACTTAGAGTACACAGGGCTTCCCACTGTCTGCGTATCTGCCTTGCTAGCCAGTGATAACACAGCCTTCAATAACTCGCTTGCTTTGAGCTCCACTTCATTATCTATAATATGAGAACAATATTCACTTGACTCCACGCTGTCACAGAGAGACATTAACAGTATAATTAACATAAATATCCAATGAACAATGAAAAGTCCACTACTGATTGCTGCATTTAATGCTGTCAAGTTGTAACACCAGTGGCTTCTGCTGACAGCTATGTTCAGACTGCCTTGCCTGCAATCTCTGGGATATGCCTGCCCCAGAAAGCTTTGGCAGAAGCTTAAGACAGCAGTTTGCCAAGCGTCCAGAGGAGGAATACAAAAGACCTTTTGAGCAGGCAGTGGAGCAGGAAAAAACACTTCATTGTTAAAATACATTTGCAATCAAAAGCATTATAACACTTTAGAAAAGCATTTATATGAGTTTTTGCCTCTAACAAAATGCTTGACACTGTTTCACTTCAGGGCTACAGGCAAAATGAGGAGTTAACAGAAAAAAAGTATCCTAATACAATAGCATGTTGTTCGGTATACTGCCAAAACCTGAAATTCTTCTCAGGAAAGTAGCCAGAAATAGCAAAAAAACAGCTGGACTTTAAAGACTGCTAATTTCCTTGACTTGCCACTATGTCAACAGCATACGTATGGTCTGTGAGACACTGCGTGCCAGAAAATTCTGATCTAAAGTGTAAACTTAAGTTTAGCTTTAATGTGTATTACAAAGCAATTGTTAACAGTAGTATAAACTGCTACAACAAATTTTAGTTACTCCCTCTTATTTGCACTAATTCTCATCAGTTAAAAGTATGTAATTTCCACCTCAATTACCTGAGATAAACTGGTCATTTGATACTCTACACATTTTTATATCTAGATTTTTTAACAGCACACACGGAGCTTACTTTCTAATATGAATTGCTCTTCTGCGTTTACTACTTAGATTGAAGTAATTTGTCACTTTTAGTATTCCTACCTGGATTATTTTAATAATTTCTACCAAAAGACACTTACAAAGCTTAACTCTTATTTTATTTTTAAAATGGGAAGAGAGGAAGCTTTGAGCAATCAATAGTTTTGGAAACTTGAGTCCTGTTTTGGAGATAATTAAAAAAATTAAAGCTGCACGGAGTGTAAGGCAAACTATTAATACACCTTCTTTGTGCCTCAAAAAATACTGACTCTCAAACTGCTTCTGTAATGATAAATTTCTTGCAAGTTTGTAAGATATAAAGAACATTGAGAACACAGAACAAAGAAATGCTTGAGGAAAAAGCAAACAAGCATAAAACACAAGTTGCTCCACTGGCAGACCAAACGCATTGTTGTACATTGACAACTCAATAACATTCCAAGACCTGTGATAATATGCTGCTGAGACTCTACAGATCCCAAAATCCACATGACAGGCACAGCTTGACAGATAATTTTCTCTGTGCAGCAAATATGAAAGCTTTTGTCACAATAGGGATGCCAGAAACACTGAGAAGGTGGGAGTAAATTGTGCTCCTGGTCTCTAGGACTCACAAGACAAATGTCATTTTTTGACCCTCCTGAAGAAATTAAAGGAGGAGCATGGCCAGCAGGTTGAGGGAGCTCCTTCTCCCTCTGTACGCTCTTGAGACCCCACCTGGAGTACTGCATCCAGCTCTTGGGCTCCCAGGACAAGAAAACATGCTAGAGCATGTCCAGAGAAGGGCCATGAAAAATCATCAGAGCTGGAACATCTCTTCTGGGTTATTCAGCCTGGAGAAAAGAAGGCTTTGGGGAGACCTTATTGTGGCCTTTCAGTACTTAAAGGAGGGCTATAAGAAAGATAAGGACCACCTTTTTAGCAGAGCCTGTTGTGACAGGACAAGGGGTAATGGTTTTAATCTAAAAAAGGGGGGATTTAGACTAGGTATAAGGAATAAATTCTTTGTGATGAGGGAAGTCACTCATTATGGCGACTGAATGATGTCATTGGAAGTGTTCAAGGTCAGGTTGGATGGGACTTTGAGCAACCTGACCTAGTGAAAGATGTCCATGCCCACTGAGAAGCAAGCTGGACTAGATGATCTTTCACAATCCCTCCCAACCCAACCTATTTTGTGACTCTACATTTATTTTGTCTTGCCAGTTTGGGCCAGGTCAGGAAGAAGCCAACATCCTAGTATTGCTATCACACTTTGGCTCAAGAAGCAGAGCTGTGCCAGATAACAGTTCTAAACTCACTGTAGGTCCTGTGGATGTCCATTTGATTTGATATAATGAAACTTCTATTTTGGTTCACTTTTACTATAAAATGTGATATTTTTCAGCTTCAGATTTTTTCCATAACATTTACCAAAAACAAAAAAGACTGACTGTGAAACACAATAGCTGAAGATTATACTGTCTTAGCCAAATAGATTTTCACGTAGTACATCACTCTGGATTTCTTTGTGATTGGTCTTGCTGGCTAAAATTCTGGTTATAACTCAACAGTACTTGTACTCCTGCTTCTAAATGCCACTAGTTCTTGGAAAACTCTCCCTGATTTCTAGTCCATATTATAAGTGTATTATTTTTAAAAAACATCACAGTTCTGTAAAATAAGCATGGAAAGATATCCAACATGCAAATAAGTAAGCAAAACAATAGTTTATACCAACAGCTCTTAAATTTTCAATAGCAAGTATCTGTTTACAATGGTAGGCAATGAGCATTCATAACTACTGTTATGAGTTTACAGCACGTTAAAGGGGCCTACAAGAAAGCAGGGCAGGGACTATTCATGAGGGTTTGTAGTGACAGGACAAGGGGTAACGGGTAGATTTAGGTTAGATTTTAGGGAAAAGTTCTTCAATATGAGAGTGACAGACCACTGGAATAGGTTGCCCAGAGAGGTGGTGGAGGCCCCATCCCTGGGGACATTCAAGATCAGGCTAGATGAAGCTCTGAGTAGCTTGATCTAGTTGGAGATGTCCCTGCTTGTGACAGGGGTGTTGGACTAGATGACCTCTGGAGGTCTCTTCCAGCCCAGACATTCTATGATTCTATTATTCTAATGAAAAGACCTGTCTAGTCCCTTAGCTGAAATCTTGATAAGTATATCAAACAACTTAACATAACACCAGGCAAAATTAGCAGCTTACTCACCACTGCCATACGAAAACGCACGAACAGAACGACCATCATAGCCAGAAGAATGTCCACTGTTGAAAATACATGTAAAGATCCAGTTAGTTTGACTATGAAAGCTTTTCACTTCCATCAGTAAACATATACTTGTAATATCATTCCCCTGAATTCTTACTACCATATAGAATAAACCAAGCCCTTTCTTATAAGTAGATTTAAGTCCTCCGTTTTGAGAATTACTAAGGACGCTGTCTATCATCGTCTGTCATCAACACAAATCTGTACATTTCATGTTTTATACTACAGAAAATGAAAATAGCATGTTCTCTTCTTCCAGCTTAAAAAATCCATATCATCAAAGCTGTTCTTTTGTATTTTCAATAAGTTTTCTTATGCAAATATATCATAAGATGCTTCTGCACAGATAGTGAACAATCTCCAGTTGCTTTTAAGTGCTTCATTCATGAATGAAGCTATTCCCATTCTTTCTGTTAAGAAGTAGGTATGTGAGCATATCTAAGAACAGGTGGATTTCAAATGTGTAGTTCTAGAAATAAACTATTAAATTAGCTACACATTTTCTAGGCTGACTTCTTTCAGTGGTAGCCAACTCAAGTATTAGAAAACTAGGAAGTTTAAAAAGAATGATATGTGCACAGGACATAATTCACACATACATAATTCTTTCATGCCATTTGGCACTTCCTACATAACTTGTATGAATTATCTTTAACATATTTAACCTAACTTTTTTCTGTTCTTGAAGGCACTTTAAGATAAGTTTTGAGCTAGCATCATTTAAAAATAAAACAAAAGCAATGATGATGAAATGCCAGTGTACCACCTTAACATTTTTAAGTATGAAATTTCGTTCCTAGGTTCCACAGTAAACTTGACTTTTTCACGTCATATTTCAGAAACTATGTAAATATTCTCTACAAATAAATTCAGTGACCACTGCTTAACAGTCAGAAGCAGTAACTGTCAATACGAAATAATAATTTACTTTCATGTACATCAAATGTGTTAGGGGCTTTTTTTATTTAAATAAGATGAGGACTTTCTATGGGATTTATCATCACCATCCCGTAGCGTATACATTAACAGAATTTTCCATTTCAAAGGAGCAGATGTGTGCACCTTGCTTCAGTGAAATCCAAAGGACTGGCAAGAGGCTTCCACCATCTTACTAAGTGACCTTTGTATATGACTGGACACCAGTAAAAAAATAAGTATTTTTCAAGGATTGTGCTGGTCAACTTATTTTTCGTCCTTTCACACATCTCTCTCTCTCTATATATATAAATAAATATATAAATATGTACACATGTGCATGTATATTAAAAAAAGTATTCAAAAAATACTGTTCAGCTTTAGAACGAAGGAGAAACACAAATATGCATTCTGTGGAACTCTGGCATTTCCTATAGCTTATGAGGGCTTGAACCTATGGTCAAATCATTTATTTGCATTTATAGAAAAGGATACAGTAGCTGACAAGTATATGGGTCACTTAAGCCTTCAGACTACTAAAGATTACTTCAGGACAAAGTCAAGGTAATGATTGTTAAAGTCTTGGCACTGATATAGGGTCTTAATTAAACTGGTAAAGGGTCAAGTCACAAAAGCATATTGTCAGACAGGTGGGACTGGTAACATTTCTGTAAAAATCTGAAGTTGTTTCCCCACTCCCAGATCAAATCCATAAAGCACTGGAAACAGTCCTTACTAATTTATTTCAGTTACAGAATACTGATATATTGCTTTATAAGATTTCAGATGGATAATCACCTTTCTATTGTGGGTATGAGGGAAGGTGGAGGACCGCCAGGAGGTGGTGGAAAGCCTGTAAGAACAAATTGGGTGAGGAGGAAAAAAGGAGAGAAAAACACCAGCATAACCACATAAAAGAATTAGGCTAAGCATACAATGACAAACAAATTCCAGATAGTACTTTGCAAGAATCGTTTCTCACTATGTAAATGGGTTTTATTTTTCTAAGACTGAGAACTGTTTTTGATCTTAACAAAGGCAGATTATTAAAAACATCCTTTCAGAGCTTCAAATAAAATAATCATTCTTAAAAATACAATAATTCAGAAGCATAGGAAAATTCTCAAGTATCTACAGTACTTAATACATAATCACAATCATTTTCTGCATAGCTGAAAAATAAAGAATGGAAGGAAAAGAAAGCACACATCTAAGAAACTGGCTGCTTAGCTCCTCTGGTCAACAGCATTTTCATACATTTTTGACACCAGGCAGAAAAAGAAATAACTGAGCCTACTTCTATACATACCATTTTTTATTTATAAACTTTTATCTACATAACTAAAAGAGAGTTGACAAACTACACATCAGTTAAGTTTTCATTTCTTAACCAAATGTGGAAAAAAATTCTAAGCAGGTTTACCTGGTGGTGGCACTGTTATTGGTATACCTAAAAAGACAACAAATAATATATCAGTTATAGTAATAGTTTATGCTTACTATCTGTGGATTTAAAATCAGATTGAGCTATCACAACATACATGATCAAGAAGAATGGTAACTTTCTGTGTCCTCAGATCAAGATTTCATATTAATACCAATTGTTAAGATTTTACACAAGCCTTGTGAAATCTAGCTTTTTATTTAAATTCCTATTCTTCAGGATCTTATTTAATTAGGGATAAATATAATGGAGACTGATTCTGGGTCTCAAGATTAGATAATAATTTATCCATAACCCTAAAATATTTAGTATCCAGAAGGAAAGTAACATCCCACAGAATATATTTGCATTACTTTATATTCTGTGACTGGATGAAAGGAAATGCCATTGGCTTCTGACCTTTAACAGCTTAGTATAGGAAACCATAGGTTCACATGGACAAAATATTCTAATAGTGAGCACTACAGGATTCTCAGTCAATGCTACACCACATGCAATTAATCATTCAGTTGCTACTTGGGAGGAAAAAAACATTTGTTTGGTACTCTATTTTCTTGTAAATATTTGAGAAAGGAGCATCCTTTAATAAAAATAACTAATAATAAAATAATCAAAAACTGTTGTAGCTTTTCTGGTTTTCAGACATAGCTTAGCTGTTATGAATTTAACTAAAGGCTGAGAAATTGTTCCCAACTAAATTAGCTGACCTAACAAAATATATTGCTTCAACCTATAAACCTATCTTATTTTATTATAAAAAGAATGATTACAAAGTAAAAATCATTCATACAATTTAAAGGACATTATCTTCTCATACTTTGCAAAGAACTGGCTTTATCTCAATTGAACACACAAAATACTGTTACATGAAAATAATCAGCTGGGCTAAAACAGCATTATCAGAAAACAGACTGCTTTACCAGGCATTAAGCTGTTTCAGTTATACGCAACTTTTTTTCCACTACAAAGTAAGTACTTTCAATCTGACAACTCACTGCAAGATTTTTGGAGGGAGAGAACAGAAAACTTTGCCAAATGCTTTCATCAGTTGTGCCATAACTGCATAAATATCCAGACAGACCAGCAGCCAGACCCACTTAAATTAACACCAATCTCATTCAAGTTCCAGATTTCATCACTCAGAGAATATTCTGGGTGTACTGGCCACTGCATGATTAATTTTGTTTACATCATTAGTTCAACATTAGAACTAAAAGACTATTGTATGGCAGCAACATGTAACTACATCTACACATTGTAATGTCTAGAAATGCCAACTGCTCCCAAATTGCCTTGGCAGAAGGCAAGGATGAAGGAATATGCAAGCTGAGGGATGGGAACCAATATCGAAGTTAGCTAACTGCTGGTGATTTCACTGACATGAATTCTTGCTCCCATTAATCCTGTAAGGTTAAACAAATTGTGAAACAAAATTGAAGTTGCTGTCTAATCCCAAATATTTAAAATCTTATCTCTCAGCCGAAATGTAAATCAGGAGACAGCGAATCACAAAAGCCAAATTCCTAAGCTGTATGAGCCATTTTCTCTTCACCAACGCACAAGCTTTCCAGTAGGCACTACCATTGTTCAGATCACTGGAAGTCACACCATAAAAAGTTTGACAGTGTAATGTTTAAAGGACCAAACACTCCTAATGAACATTTTTGAAAGAAAAGGAAGACTGGCAACTCAAATGGTTGCACAGCTGAGGTATTTTCTATTCATCTTTTTTGGTCAATTGTTCATCTTAATAGATTCTTCATGAGCCTACAACATAGGGGGGCGAGGGGAAACAAACAACAAAACGACTCTTAACAACAGTGTTAAGAACATAAGCTAGAAAAAATATCAGAAGTTCTCTCAAATTGGTTAATTTCTTAGCCTATGCTTAAAAAAATTTCAGTTGCTGCACTGAACCCAGTATATTGTTAGCACTGAACATGACTCTGAGCTACGTACGTAACTGCCTGGAAAGCCATCAGCAAATATTTTTTATAAAAATGAAGTAGTTCTGATTAAAAAATTAATGTATTCAGAATTTCATCCTGTGCAGGAATACAAATAAAAATTTCATTACAAGATTAAAAGCCAAATGAAAAATTTCACTTGAGAGCCATTCAAACAAAATCAAGACTGACTGAATAGAACTAATATCTAGAGATCAAATGTCCAAATAATTTTAATGAGTTGGTTAATATAGGGCATTATGCTAAAAAAAAAAAAAACACATGGACGTTTTTCCTCAAAAACTTTTCAGAACATTTAAAGTCGTGACTAATGATTAAACCATTTTAAGACAGAAGGTAATTTACTTAATGTTAAAAAAAAATTCTTCTGCATTCCAAATTAGCAAGTATCACTAAAAAGATCTGAAAGTTTTTTTCCTTCACTTTCTTCACTAACACACAAATGTGACAAACAAACAAAAAAAATCATAAACTTCAGTTAATGGGAAATTAAGACTCTCTTAACTCTTCAGTCCTTTGCCTTCTACTAACGCAGTGCATGAAAAAAATACTTGAAGTGTCATCAGAAGACTTCCGAGAAAGAAAAAGGCTCTGAAATATTGAGTCATTTCTTGCATTGTATAGACTAAACTTGAGAACCAGTGCAAGAAGGTGACATAGCGTAGATCATGTCACATCTCTAGAACATGCTGTACTGCCACAAAGCTATACCAGGCCTAAACCTAAATATTCACACTTTTGAACTGTCAAACACAATCCAAATGGCACTAGTGCAGCCTTTCACCTAATGTGCTGAAAATTGCTTTCAGGACACTGTATACCATCCTACTAACTCAAAGCTGGTAAATATTTACAGAAAACCAAAGAGGTTTTACGATAGGAAAGCAAGGCCACACGTGCTCCACTTGTGGAGTAAGGAATCAAACGTGATAATGCTGCCACAGTTTAACAACATACTGCAAATTAGCTGAACTGTGTAATAGCCCACAGCAATGCAACATAACTCAACTCGGTGCAAAAAATGCTTCTGCCACAGGCTAGACTAAGTCAAATCCTCTTACATTTATCACAAGATAAAAAGTATAAACTGCTGAAGCTGAGCAGATGTACAGTTACTTACTATAAGTATACTGACAGAAGTGCAGGCAGTCAAACTTCCCAAAGTTATGCAACAGAAGTTCAATACTTGAGAGTAACTTATTTTTTTAATATCAAAATGTGTCACAGTTTAACTACACTTTTAAACAAAAAGACATAAAACAACTTCTAAAACCTGTTAAACAGAAGCATACATGTTTTTCTTTAGATTTAAATTACTCCAACATAGCAATAAACCAAGCAAACAAAAAACAACAGTTTTTGCCACAGTCAGTAATCTTCTAGGAGTATCTGAGAATTTTCTGCATTTGACCCTTTGAATTGTTCCAGGGCTCGTTCCTCAAAGGAGAGTTGAATCACAAGAGTGAATGAATTCAGAACCAGAGATCTGACTTCAAAGCAAGGTCCTTTTTCAAAGGGGCTCTTGGAGGATGTTTTATATTTGGAATACTTAAATTTTCTGGCACGTAGTCCCAGTTTAATATTGGGTAAGAGTAGTTTTTTTTCCTCCTCCTCCACTGAACCTAGAAGGCATGGCAGATTCTATTTTAGGAACAGCTTTGAAGATAAAGAACTGGCAAGAGCACAATTAAAATAGGCCTGAAGAAACCAAATCCACAGCTCTTAATCGTTATTTTCAAATCTACTTGAAGCACGGAAGGATGTTGAAGGAGACCTTCTGAACAAGTGTATGTCATAAACCTGTCTGTAAACCACAAGACTAAAGCCAAACCTGCTTGCTCAATCTGTAACATGTGGATTTCTCTCACCTTTAAAAGCTCAGCAGGTGAGGAGTCTCACAAGAACAGTCCAGCTCACCTATATGACGTACCTGCACCAAGTGCCTTTGGGGTGTCAGGAGGGTTCCTCTCATGCTACTATCCAACTTAGGTCACCTTTTGTATATCATAACTAAAATTAAAATAATTACTTTCTAAAAACTTGCAATGCACTACCTATATTATTTTAGCAGAAAGGTTTTGAAGCAGCTTAAACCCACAGTTAACATTAGCACCATGTTCCTCTCATTTCTGTCCCACATGCAACAAGGAAACATCACAAAATTGCCAGAGCAGTAGCACATTCTTTCTTCAGTCATCCTACTTTTTATATTTATGCACAAAATCTTGGAAAAGGGCACAGAATTATTCCATCTTTAAATCACTCCTCTTTGGTTTTCTAGGTTGCATGCACCATTTTGTGTATGACAATCACTGATGAAAGCCAGAGCTTGGCAGGCAGCAGGAGCCTAATACTTTTAAGATCAGCAGCAGCAATTGGAGAAAGCAACCACTTCTGAGAGGATTTAAACCCTGTAAAGCCTCACACAAAGTTGTTGCACAAAAATAATAATGTTACTTCCTTGCTTATACGTAGGAGTTAACAAGGAAACTTTTAAAAGATTCTCTGTGTGAACAGAAGAGCAAACAAACTGCTTAACATGATTTCAGAACAAGTCAAGCAAAAGAATGCAAGGAACAAAAGAAGAAAATAAGGAAAGAGGCTTCACTTTACATCAGTCTCTTCTACAACAAATTGTCATTTTCTTACTCAACTACTCCCCAAAGTTTCTCCATCTATTTTCATTTCTCACTGACCACTCTTCTTAGTTGCTTGTTAAGTTCTTTTGAATTTCATTCCTTAAAATGACACCATTCAGGCAACTGCAATATTTGTGCAAATGCCCATGACATTCCCCGCCCTAAAGTTTCATGATACTATCAAGTTTCTGTTAACATTCAGTAAATATCAAACCAGATTTAACAATAGGAGAGCTCCCAAAGCACTTGGATTCCTCTACGATTCACAGACATAGGACACTGGATAAAAACAGGAGGTACTAATAAGAGCTCTGACTGAAAGAAAGGACACGGCACAAATGCAGTTCTCATCACACTTTTGGTAATTCACACATACTGGGAGGGGAAACCAGAATTAAAGTTTCTGTTGCTGCTTTGACCCTAGACAACAGAGAATCCAACTTCTGACACATATTCATGGTGCACCAGACTTCTAGTTCAAAATTTTGTAGAACAATTTGTTAACATGAACCCCTTTATAGCACTAACAGTAGTTGAATTACAGAAAACAACTTCTCACTTCAAACATTTTCAAGGACACAAGATTCAACATTCAGTCTTTAGGTAATTATTTACTCACTACTTGGGATTACACTTACTGAGAAAGCAAAGACAAAAGTTTCCGTTTCTGCTTTGCAGATATATTCAAGAAAAGAGTAGAAAACCAAATTCTAAAATTCTGCACAAACAGTGCACTGTCTTTAATTCATTATCATCATGAATTTTATGACAATGCATCTCTCATTCTTCACATCCTATGTAATGCAGGATATTTACCTGGTGGGGGAATCAGAGGTGGAGCAGTACTGACATTTGGAGGGGGTGGGAGGAAAGGAGGTGGAGGAAGGTGGGTAGGTGGAGCTCCTGGAGGGAAAAATGGAGGTGGCTTGGTAAAATTGTCTACTTCAGGATTAGATCGTTCTGAAAGAACCTGTAAAATATCAAACTATAGTTACAATTGCTATGTCAAAAGAGTAAAAGATAGGTTTCCTCTCTTTCCAGTTACTACAACAAGAAAGTATTACTTATGCACCTAAAGAGCCATATTCAGATGATTTAGGTTCAATCTGCATCCCTACGTTCGGTGTCAGATACTTGCCAAGTAACTCTGAGGGTCTACAAACAGCTAACAGAGAAAAATAAACATAAGATTTGAGAAGGAAAATAAGCCATCTGAATATGGCCCCAAACACTATTTTAAATTTATATATAAAGGAAAATATTTTAAAAATCAATATGAAAAGAATGAAAAACCCAAGCATTTATATTACTTAAACACTGTGAGATCAGCTGAAAGACACATGGCAGTGTTTTCAATATAAACACTATGATCCGCTACTTTTTTTGTTGTTTAACCTCAACTTAAATTGATATGGAAGTGCACCAAGGGCGCCAAGCAACCTTGATTGTTCTCCACAGGTAAGTCAGGAGAGAAAAGCTGTATTCAATCTTAACGCAATTAGTTGTTTCCTTAAGATAATCCAAGCCCATGAAGACTAAAATCAGAAAGGCTAATCTTATAATTTATAATAAAATAATAGAATACAATTTTTTAAAAGTACAATAACTATTTTTCTCCTTCGCAGCTTATTTTTAAAAGACTGCATTCCTCAAAATGCATAAGAAGAGGCTTTCATTTTCAGTATTAGTGTCTGGCAGGAATAGGGCAGAAACACACAGTCAGTTTAAATATTTATCTTAGTTACTTGGTAAACAAAATGCTATCCCATGCTGATCTAGCAGAGCCAATGCGGTCTCCTCCATTTAAGTCTGTAGTATTGTTCATTTCCTTTCAGTAAGAAGTACACCAAAATATTTACCTCTTGAAATACATCAAATATTTCATCCAAATGTAACTGAGCCAACTGTCACAACTTTCTTCCTGAACTTAGAGCTATTTCTGTTCTACTCTTTCTTACACACTGAAAAAGTTTTAATCAGAAGCTGTAGGGATTTTAAATGTCTTTTAGTCAAAGATAGTGTGCAAATACTCAGTAGAAAACCTGTATGTTGCTGTTCTCATTAGCACGCCGTCGTCCTTCCACCCTGCTGATAGTGATGGTCTGTCCAATCACATCTATTGCGCCAGATAATCGCCTGCAAGACAGGACAAACCAGAATCAACAAGCAGAGTTAGAAAAAGGGGTGAAAACAAAGATAAATAGGAGTGAGAAGTCTTATGGAATTCTCTCATTCTAAAGGTAGAAGTTCCTTCTCCTGTATAAAACATAAAAGACAGTTTCTGAAGAACACTAAATGTGATAAGATAGCGTGTAGAACTAAACAATGCAGCAATGAAGAATCCTGTAGGGTGAACACTGACTCTCCACATTCTCCTTCCATCCCCTACAAGCTAATAAATGTACACCCATGTCATCAATAAAAGGAAAGAAAAAAAAAAAGGAACAATAGCAAAAAACACGCATTGGATACAAACATTAAAATTAAAAGCAAAATTAATGTCTTAAAATCTTCAATAAATCAACCACGTGGGAATATACTGACAGTAAAGGACTCCAGGTGCCAGATCAGAAAAATAGTATGACAAAAATCTGAATGTCATCCACTAAAACTAAAACCTGGTGTCTGTGACAATGGGGAACCACTGTTTTGAAGACAGGAAGAATCTAAAGTCTAGTGAACTTTCCAGTTTGCAGCCCAAACAAATGAAACCCAGAAACCTAGCTTTATAGAGAATTTATAACTCTATCATTCTCATGCATATTGGACAAAACCCACCTGTTCTGCAGCCCACGGTTAATTTCTAAAAGAGGTTAAAAGCAGGATTCACTTAGGTCAACTTCACTAGAAAACGAGGTACAAAATTACATTGCTAATGGATGAGAGAAACAAAGGTACATCTGTGTCACACCTATAAGGTAAAGTAGAGAAAACTGACAATATCTGCCAATAGCATGATACATAACAAAGTAAAAGAATGACTGTGAAAAAAACCTTGCAGGACATTTCAGAAAAGAAATGCATAGATTTCAACAGAAATCCAAACACTTCCTGTGTTAGAAGACAAGCTCCCGTCCGTTTTGTCTCCAGCGGACCACCAATCGCCTTAATACAGAGAGCAGGGAGAGCAGCTGAAGCCGGGATTACAGGCTCCAGGTGCTGCTGCACTGACAGCTCTGACCCCAGCCGCTCAAATACCTAGATTCCAATGCAGCTGAAAAAGACACAGCAGACACTAGAGCATGAAGGATCAATTAGATCTCCCAGAGATAATCTAAAGCTCCTTGGCAGATTGCATATTGAGGATGATCCAAATGCCTTCTTTCTGAGCTTTTCAATATCTGGCTTTAGAGATTCCTCTTGGATTTTAAAGCATGCTTACTAAGAACAACAGTTTGGAGGTAAAAAAACCAGTCTAATGGTACAAGAGTCTACAAGTGCATCTGCAAACTAAAACAGTATATACTGTACAGTAGCCTCTTTAAGGATAACATAAGCTTAAAAAATTCTCTTATCTTCTAACTTCTTCATCCTAGAAGTCAGATTGTTTCAGTCTAAATCCTGAAATAGTCAACACCCGCTTTCCTAATCCTTGCCAGTGGTTTTGTATGGTATCCCAGCACTGCTGCACTTAGGGATTATTATTGTTATTTTGCTTTCATTAACTAAATTGGAAACATAACTATTATAAATCAATTGCTAAACCAACTCTTTCATTTAAGGAAAAAAAAAAGGGCAAGTGAATTTTTGTAAAACAACAAAACTTTGTCTCAGTTTTCACTGACAGCTCATTTGGTTTCAGAGTTCTAAGACACTGGTTCTCTTCTATTGCTGGTATCTTTTCCTACTTATCTAAAACCATACCCTAGAAAACTAATTTTCCTTAGATTTAGTCCTTGTGTGTGATGGATGACTCTCTTCCAGGGGGGCAAGAAACCCCTTCTCATCTGGCTCCTTGCTTGGCTCACTCTACTGTTTTACAGGGCTTTCACCTGGGAGTGATGAACTTAAAATTAAGACTTTTTCTGTCTTGCACTGTTTGCACACTGCCAGCAGCTCTTGGAATCAAGGCACTGGCAGTGGACGCCAATGCAAGAGTACTCGTCGTTAAAGTAATACATGCATCACCCACACTACAATAATACAAATTTTGGCTAGGGGAGCAGCCCAAATATAACACTGCATTATCAAAGGAAGCAGCTCTAGATTACCAGTTGGTTCCTCAAGACATCTAATTTTGGTAATGATAGATGAGTTCAGGAATTAGCCATCACATCTCAAATTTTACAGACTCTCCATTTCCAAGACTGTAATAACCATCTCATTAAGTACTCCACTAAAAGAGCTTGAAATTGAGCACAAGACAGTGTGTGTTCAGTTGCAAGTGCAGCAGCATGTGACACTACTGTCGAAAATGTAATCTTCACAAAGGCAAGAGGGGCATCTAAAATGCCCAGAATTTAACAGTTCAGCAGATTTGTAAAAGGGGCAAATCTGAAGTGAGGATCTTGATTAAGTCATAGCAAGTTGGCACATGGGGGAATTTCAAAGACTCCCCAGCCACTGTCTAGCTTAGTGATAAGATGTTAAGGAAGCACTACTAGGTTTCTGTTGCTGTGCTGTATGCAAAGAACAGAGAGGGCCTGGGTTTGTCCCTTACACAGCCAGGGAACCTGGGATACAGATGCCTTCCCAATGGACACATCACCCGAACATAAAAAGGCAATCCAAGCGTGTGGGATGCACATGAACCCAGAGCAGAGTTCATACAAAGTGTAGCTTGAAAGGAACATTCCAGCAACTCAGTGAGTGATTTAACTCTAATTAGAGAATGGTTATTTACGAGCTATTTGCACTATGAACACCACTCTCCATGGAGGTTTAATTCAGAAAGATATCTCTATCTCCTTTGGAAAGCTGAGTTTATTTAGGCTCTACAGAGCAAAAAGAAAGTGGGATAAAAAAAGAACAAAAATGAAGAAAAAAACCCAAACAACCCCAATTCCTTTCCAAATTCATAGCTTCAGAAGTCACTTCTCCCCACCAGAAGTAATATAAATAACTAATAACTTTTTGGACACATGCACCTTTTTCAGAAATCAGAAACAGCGTAACTACTGGATGCCACATTTATTCACTAGACTTATAGTCTAGTCTAAGAATTATAGAATTATAATATACTTTAAAAACCGTGTTTAGCAAGTTCTTGTGTTCCTTCCTGTCTTGCTTATTTGTTCTATGCTTTATTTTCCCTCCTCTTGAGGACAGTCTCAACTTTGAACTCACCACTGATTGATGTAATTAAGAAGCAAACAAATCTAATACAGAAATAACTTACATACAAACCAGACATTTCTTAAAAAATAATGCTGACATTTTCATCATTTAGTCTCGCAAGGCTATTTCATGAAATAAGAGGAAACCTGGATTTTTTTGTAGTAGTGACACATCACAAATCCATTTACACAAAGGCCCAAGCACAGAAAAAAAAAAAAAAAAAAAAAGAAGCATATATAATCCATATAGTTAAGATTTACTCATTGAGCTACTCTCAGACTTTTGAGCATACAATTTTCTTTCAGAATCTCTTCTGACCACTTGGAAAGACCTTTTTCTTTACATAGGAATTTAAGACAATGTATCCAAAGGAACAGATACTAAATATCAGAGGAGGTTGGCCTTGACATTGTAACAACTTACATTATTCACACTAAATGTATATAAATCAACCTGTGTTAAACACTGGAAAAGAGGATTGATACAACTGGCAATGTATCATTTTGATTCTTCTTTATCTATGCAACAGACCAACTTCACTTACTGATTTCTCATTCTTAAAGATATATGGGGTTCCCAGCCTTTCCTAGGTAAACTTAGCTCTGGGAGAAAACAGATATGTCTCAAGTTCCTCAGGAAACCTCTGACTAGCAACTAATATATTAACTTTAAACCTTTAAAAAACGGAAAGGTGGTCACTTAAACTTGGGATTGCTAACTTCAGACAGGAAAAAAATAACATAAAAATATAGTATAAAGCTTTTATTTATAAAGTCTTCACCATGCACACACATGACCCTACACCATGCACACGTATGACCTTACTGTATTAAAGTTGCTCACACCAAATGCATATTTCAGAGAATCACAGAATTTAAACACTGCATTTTTTTCTACAGCTTTAAGCTTAACCATATTTTAACACTCTGGTCATTAACTACTTTCTGAAGTATTTTAGAGATTCTTTGACCACCGGATAGATGCACAAAAAATTGAAATCCTGTACCAAGACCCATAGTAGATACAGATTTGAAATCCTTACCCTATGAACAGTACATTAAATTTTGAGAACTCTATTACAAGCTCATAATAAATCAGAAGCAATTCAGGAAAGTAAAAAAATATTAAAAATAAAAAAAAATTTACAGGGTTGGTACAAAAGTTGGAAGACTTAATACTTCTTACACAAATGACACCAGAAAAATAAGAAGTAATATCTCCTAAAACCAAAGCAGTAAAACTTAATACCTCAGAGAGAAAAATTTAGGTTGCCATGATGAGTATTCTAGGAGTGAAAGAAAAATGCGGACAAGAGTATCAAGCAGGATTTTCTTTTTCACCCAACAGAAATACATTTGGGTGTTGAACTGAGTCTTAAAGGATGGAATATTAGAATAGAGTGGCTCTGAATTAGTCAAGGTACTTATGGATGCAGTGCTAAAGACAAGTCATAGATGCTAATCTTTAACTGTTGGTGATGAAAGTGTACAACCTGCTCTACCTCTCTTACCAACATTTATAACAGAAGCTCTTACTGTGCGTGCACAGAACCACAATTCCTAAACAGGACCACTTGATAACTAAAGCAAAGCAGAAGCATGGATTCATCCTAAGCCAAGTGCCAGATATTAGAGAGCAGTAGCTTAGATAGAAAGGACAGAATTTATAAAGCCTGGGGCTGAGAGAAGGAGGGGAAGTAACCACAGCAAGGATAAAAATTCTCCCATTTCAAACAAAGTATAGCAAAATATTAAAATATGGAGAAACTGAAGCTACCTTTCAGGAAGGCAACCAGGCTCCAGGAATTCTTCCAGTTGTTGAAATCAGAGCTGTCCAATTCTGACTTGTTTAGCAACTGAAAAGGTGTGCTAGCTAACACCCATAAAGACACTAGCTAAAAACATTTTGCTGTCCAGTCTAATTCTCCACAAGAAACTGTCATACATCACATCTGGATTTTTACAGCTGCCGTGTAATTTGGTCCTGCAGTTTTTTTCCTCCCCTTTCCTTCTGCCTTCTTTTCCCCCAAACAGCCAAGGAAGTAGCACAGCATTCACATGTAGTGGTGAGTGAAGGCTAAAACTGACTAGGATCACTCTTCCTCTCATTTCTACCCATTACAGAAATGTATTTTCCTTTTTTCCTACAAAAATCATGAACTTCAAATACACAGAGGTAACAGTATAAAAAGTTTTTTGGTCTTGAGCTACAACTAACTGACCTGTTTGCTGGAATTCCTGTTTTGAATAAGGCAGGAGGAGATGTGAAATCAGCTTTGGTCGACTGCACTGCCAACTCTTTTTCCAAATTTCCAGTTCTGCCCTGCTGTACCTTCAAAATAATGTTTCATCGTTAGTTTAACCTCAGAAATGTAGTAGCACAAACACTCAACACAGCACATAGCCAACACAAAAAGAAAGTCAGTCCCACCTGAATCAGATTTTTTGAAAACTGTCACCTTTGCACACCTAGTAAAATTCTGTATTTCATAAGGATATATTACTTAAGTACTGTATTTAATACCCATAAGAAGCAGAGAACAAATTATTACAGAAGATGAGACAGTTTTAATATTTACTTTCCAAGCATTTGATTTGGACATGAACAGATTAGACCGATTTTCCTGTAGAATTTTCTGCATGAACAAAATAAATCTTAATTTTTAAAAGAAGCAAACATTAAAAAATAAAAACCTTCATAATCTTAATGACAGAGATATCTAACAAGTCTGCTACCCAACAACAAACTAAAAGACAAGATTAAGTCGTGGACTCTCTGTCTGCCTTACTGATCACGAGATCTTGTAACCACTTAATTTCCAAGTCATACCCGGAAGTCACCTCATACCTTGCATTATGCAAACTTTAAAAGATTTTCATTAGTTCAGACTGAATACTTCAAAAACATACTGCTGTTTCTGAAGTACTGCAAAATTACAGAGACACATTATTAAAGTTATGCAAGACCTTTGGTGCAGGTATTGTTTGACGACTTATACACGAAAGAAAAACCTGCATTGGTTAGCATTAAAGACAAACCTGTACTGATCCAGGTTTTAAAGACACTCCCACTGTACCAACCACACTGCTACATCACTCTGCACAATTAGTTCACTCATGGTATAACATCACACAGGCTGTGATCTCACAGCTTCTCTGTAGGCAAGTGAACTCCTAAGCTTTTGCAGAATCTCACTTCTAAACACAGGCACCTCTTTCCCAAACCCAGAAAAATGCACATAAATAGTTAAGATTCATTAAAAATTGAACTAAACTCTAATATCCAGAAATATGTATATATTAAAAAAAAAAAAACTGAGCAGATTTTGTGTTAAGTATTTATCTGAAAAATCTGTGAGTGGAAGCTTTGGTTGGTAATACTTATCCTCCTTCCATCAGGACAATAGCTGAGAGAATTTTCAGAGTGTAGTCAGCTGCACATTGTGACTCCCACTGCCCACCATTTCCACTGTTCCATGACACTGTTATAATGATAATTGAGGAAGGCAAAAAGCCCCAGGGAGCTTCTGATGTTTTCTTGCTAAGATAAAATCAAAATGACTGGATACCCTCAATTAGTATGAGGGGAAACAAAAATACCTGTCTGCAACTGACACTTCTTTCACAGGAATACACAGAAGAAAGCAACAAACAGTTGCAAGTCAGTTTAATTACAGTTCATGAATAAAAATTACTCCATATTGAAAATCAACACAATAAATAACCTTTGGATTTCAATTTCAACTTTAGTATCAAACAGAAGAGTAAGTGAGAAAACAAGAAGTTGAAAAAAAAAAAAAGCATTCAATCCTTAAGATAAATTCTGTTACACATATTTTTCTGCTCTCTGAAAATCAGCATTGCCAAATAGAATATCATATATAACTCAATTTATTACCATCTAATCCCAGAAGGACAAAAGAAAAATATAGAAGATGGATCTTCACATCTCAGAGTTGCCAAGGATAAGCATTAAAAAAACACAGTAAGAGCTACAAGGCCAGAGAAAAAATAAACATGTCATCATCTACAAAAGCTTCCCCAGCACATCTGCACAAATTCTTTAATCTGCAGAAACAAATGCACTACAACTAAAAATAAACTACCACATAAGGAAAAATTAGTTACACTGGGAAATTTGTTAGTTCACCAGGCCACTAACTCACATGCTTGTGGAAGGGTGATGAAGAAAGCACCACTTTTAAATCAATATTTTGTGACATACGCAGAAAGTCACTGATCTAAGATGAGAGTTTGAAGTCATTTTTGATGTCCCATTTCAGTTGTTCTTCTACCAGTCTGTGGTGGCATGGGAAGCAATACTCAAGAAAAGTGAGAGCAACCAACAAAAGTTTACTAAAAATTCACCTTAAAAAGATGGTATCTGCCATCGAGAATCTCTGCACTTGGTCTTACTTCCATAGCATTGTCTTCAGCCTAAGTTAAATAACACATTGCCCATTAAGATACCACACAACTCTGAAGTGATGGGCCACAATCTGAATCAAGGTACAGAGGCAGTCTAGCTGTATCTACTCTGTCACGCTACCCACACAAGCTGCCAGAGAAGCAACGGGAATAGTCTAGGCTCGGGATGGGGAGCGAGGTGCAAAATCTAACAAATGCACTGAACTGGGCAGACTCAGCTTATGACAAACACGTAGCTTTACAGGGAAAAAAGCATGTAGAATACCACAAAAGTTGTACTAATTACCGTAATTTTATTTGTGGTTGAGGTAACTGGTAAAATTTCAAGACCCATTCGTATTCTCTTTTGTTTTTCACAGTAAGCTTTCCAGGTATCTTCATTGAACCCATAGTTGAAATAATCAGAGAGATCAGCCCCTTTAAGTAAAAAGGCACAGGTTTTTAGGACATTGCAAAGTTGATCTTTTCTTCACTGAACATGCATACATCTTTGTTTATAACATCAAAATGGATTGGGCATTTATCTAAAAACATACTACTGAAATGTACACTACATCTTACATCAGTAAACAGAGTATTCATGGCTAAGACTATAAAAAAATTAAAATTTCATCCGAGTAACTTTCCTAGTATCCTGTCTCAGGGATTAAGAACAGATACCAACAGCATATCATAGGATACTACATTCCCTGTACCTTTACAATAGGATAAATGTGAGATCTACAGGTTTGCTGTACATGCAGTGAAGAACCACCCCCCTCTGCTGGTTCTGTATTTGACCCGTCATTTCCACCCCTTGTTTCATTTGATGTCCCAGAGTATTTTTATGGTAAGAGAGAACAGACATAACTCAAATGCACAGAATATATTTTAGATAGGTAACAGCTCAAACACCAGAATATTATCAAAGGATTCTTTTTTCCACTTTGTAGTGACTATTTAGATGACCAAAGCAACATACCAACACTAGAAAAAACTATACACAGTAGCGAGATGTACTGCCACTAAAAAGAAGCCAACCCATGCTGCTATTAGGCAAGTCTGGCCAAATAAGTTGAGCTAACCAGACAATACACACAGGAGACTTATGGAAAGTCCATGTGGTACCAGCTTCTTCTTCAAAGCTTACAGATGTCTACACGGGAACACAAAGAACCACAAGCAGCTACATTTCACCAGTCTCCATGCTCCAACCTGCTACAACTGTTTTCCATTCTGCTTTATCTTCTGTCCCATGAGACACACCAATGGCAGCAACCTCCACAGAAATACAGATTTACAAGGAGAGTTCAGGACATAACATGTACTTAAAAAAACCCCATGTAACAGGCATGTCCTACACTCTCTTTCTGCTGACACGTGTGAGATGTATACTAAGAAACACGGTACACCCACACGCCCTGTGGTACAGCACAAAAGCAACAAGTAACTCAGCTGCTTTTTCCAAGTCATATTGTACCGTATCTTCTAGTTATAGTGCAGATAACATCTCTGTGCAGTAAACAAGAATTATTATTAAAATAGCCTACTGAATACCTAAGTATCAGTTAATGTAAACCAGAGCATTACCTGGCTTTCTCCAAGGTTTATCTTCAAAAGAATCTAAATCTACTTCCAGAAGTGGCACACCATTAATACTCCCTGGTGCATCTAGATCCACGCCTTTAACTTTGGCACCTGTGAAGAAATTTTTAGGAAGTTAGAGCATTCTATCTTTACCAAATAAGAGTTTTAACAATTGTAACACAAAATATAAATAAAATCTCAGATTTAAATTTATCACAACGTTTTGGACGTGAAATGTATTTTTTTCATCCAAAACAATAAAACATCTTTTTTTTTTGCATTTTTACTAATATTACAGTGTAAGTTTTCTTACCAGGAGATGGGTAAGCTCGCCCTCCTGTCTTAATATTGAGATTCACAGGTGCTGCTCCATAACTTAAAGAAATTAACAAAAAAATTAATTAGACAGAGAAAATGCTTAAAACAGAAGAAAACACAAAACAAGAGTTAGCTAGATCCAGAAACAAACTGGACCCCGGCTCAATCACCATCCTGAACCTCTAGCTTTCCAAGCTGGTAACACTGTAAAAAGTAAAGAGATTAGCCTAGGAGGAAGAGAGTGTACCTTTCTATGCTCAGTAGCAACTTCTCCAACTAATAAACAGTTGTGAAGCAAGTCCCAGTCACTCTTCCTGAGTTGAAAGGATAAAGACCTTGATAGAAACGAGAATGGACAGAACCAGAAGAAGAGAGAAAGCAAAAATGAAGTTCATTTAGGGATACAGATGACACTCTGGAGATTAGAGTAAAACCAAAACTTAAAGAAAAAAAAAAAAAAGGGCTTAGACAGATCCTTTTTCTTTTCATTATTATTCCTTTTAATCTGCACAGAAGTGGAAAAGAGAAGCATTTCTCTACAATGACTGAAAGGCTGTCTGGTTTGATTTACTTCTAGCAACGACCTGTCCTTGTAACCAACAGAAAACCCTGTAATGTTTCACCTTCCAAAACACTTGAGAGCTTTCTTCATAAAAATGCACTCAAAGCTAGATATCGAACTGATTTAATAACCTTAGGAATGACAGTATTGTTCATTTGGAGCATGAAGAGCTAGCTTTCACTACTATTTGCATGCAGTGTAGCTTATCCTTACAGCTAGTATCAACCCATAAACATAATAAGATTAGCATATAATTAGAAGGCAGTCTGTAGTTTACAGTACCGCTACCATGCAGATTTAATTTCCATTCAGGTGCTAGACAGCACAAAACTGCCCCAAAGCATTTAACTTTATGACCTGCCATGCTGCATCTATGCATGACTGTCACAAATATTTTTTTTTAAATAGCAGTTGACTCTTATAGGAAAAATCATATAATCCTATAAAAGGATCTTGCTATACTAAAGTTAAAATGAACTGCAGTGTTGAGCTTGTTTTAGATTACTGCCCTTCCATGAATTCTCTGTCCAATTTACCCAGAAAAAAAAAGGTTCTTCAAAAAACAACCATTTCTACATAAAACTTACTACTCTAATTGGAGTTAGGATCTGCTTTGTTTTCTGTATTCATGGAAAGAGCAGCAGCAAATCCACTGAGAATATAAATCTAGTTTTGCTTAGTCTCACAAAATCTGAGGTCACTGCCTACACCACGAGCATACTGCATGTTATTGAAAGCAGACAAATAATGAGATGCTGTTTTTTTATATTACGTTGATTTGCTCAGTTAACTTAGGATATGAAATATTGAGTTTCAAAATTATATGTTTAGAAAATGAGTAAATAATCTGCATTCTAGAGTTAAGAACACAATAATATACATGAGTCAGGACTATGTACAGATCTGTCACAATCCTATTAAGAAATGACACCCTAGTAAGTCTGGTTTTCATGAGCACAAAAACACTAGGATTGCCAAGACAAACAAGCAAACCACTTTCCTTAGAAAACTTCCATGTAATGAAAAAATAGTGTTTCATAATTTGGGGTAAAATTAACACTGTTCAAAACTTTGCAGTGAAAAACAAGCCCTTTATCAAGAGACAAATTATGGGGCAATAACAGTAGCAAAAAAAGATTTTCTGTGGTACAAATGCCCAAACCATGACCTTGAGAAACTGCCTCCAGAGACTGGGAGCTCCATCCTGAAGTACATGAAAATCTCACTAATAGGAAATGAAACTACAGCCATCTAACTAGAACTGTATCAACTACTAACAGCAACAAGGACAAATGTTTCTAACATTCTCTGTTCTTACCACTCTACCACAAGCAACAAAAAAAGCCACTGTCACAATAACGACCCTAACAATGCCATGTAACATGGCCATTCCATAACAAAAAACAGCTCTCTACTTTACAAACTTAACACAATTGTTTATCAAAATCTGAAAATAAAATTTAACTCATACAACAGCTCTTCCTGACATTTCATTGACTTTATTTCACTTTTTGGTTTTCAAGTCACTGTATCATTAAAAAGATTGTTAAAGAGCTAAAAAAACTAAATTGAGACTAACAATGCATAGAATTTGACACTGACAAGTACTAAAGAATTAATTATTAAATGTAATTCTGAAAGTTGTGCTAGTGAATGTTTGTAAATAACTTACCTATACTGTGGAGCTCCTGTTTTAATATCCCCTATGGTGACTTGAACATCATCTTCATCATCATCACTATCACTATCACTGTCATCCTCAGCCTCTGTCACCTTCTACGGAAGAAAAAGTCATTGCTTAGACAAAAAGCACTTACCTTTCCAGTGGAAAAATAATCAAAAAAAAAAAAAAACCTACTCAGTCTAGAAATCTTCAAAAGAAGAAAATTCTCCTTTTCCTAGACCTCAGAAATTAGTAGCCTTAACAGTAAATTCAGAAGGCTCACCTGCTGAAATGCTACAAGTATATGAAACATCTGGATCAAAATAGGGAACTATTTTTAATACTAAGCTGTTTCTGAAATGTGAGATTTCTCAAATAAGCATGAAATCGTTTCCACCACCTAATATCCTTCTTCCCTCTACCTGGCTCATACACACTGGTTCTACTCTCACCTTGCTACTCAGGAAAGAATGACATGCAAGACTAGCTTCTTGCCATCCTCAATTACATATCCAGAGTAACTCAAATAGACATTTTTCCACTTGTAGATGCACATTGTGCTTTAGAGAAATTTACCAAGTTCCTAACATCAGTGAACTATATAAAGTACTTGAGATTTTTCAGTCAACAGGCTGCAAAACACACAAAAGAGCACACTGCATGCTGTTCTGTCCCATAGCTATCAAGCTTGCTGGTAAATGAAAGAGCCATGCTAGTTCATACCATGTTCATCTTGTCCAGTGCTTTGGTTTGTTTGACGTTTTTAGTTTTGCCCTCCCAAAGACCAGAGAGAAAAAACAGGGCAAACAAATATGATCCTTCTCCCTAATACTCTCACAGCTGCTGATTGGTGAGGCATTGGACCAGGCTGCCCAGGGAGGTGGTGGAGTTACCAGCCCTGGAGGCGTTCGAAACATGTAGATGTGGCACTTCGGGACTTGGTTTAGTGGCCCTGGTACTGCTGGATTGATGGTTGGACTTGAGGTCATAGTAGTGTTGGGTCAACAGACTTGACCTTGGAGGTCTTTTCCAGCCTTAATGATTCTATGATTATCATCAGTTCAGGGCATTTCCTAAGCTAGTTATGCTTTGCCCATTTAGTAACCCCCAATGGATCTTTCTCTCATGTACTTGCCCCAACTTCCCTTGGACTCATATAAACTCCCACGAGCAACATTTTCTTTTGGCAAGCACCATCTACTGCTTGACGATCCAACCTCTTTTATTTGTTTTCACCCTAGCTCCTACAACTTCCATTTAACAGTCTCGGTTCTCATATGGAATGGACTGGCAGGAGTCAATCCTTATCTGCAGTCTCCATACACGATTTTGTTAGCTTCTATCATACCCCGCATCTGCCTGTCTTCCAGGCTGAGGAGTCCTTGCCTGCTCAGCCATCCCGGTATGGACGCTACCCTGATTACTCTTGCTGCATTTTTTCACTTGAAGCCAAGCCTTTAAAACATGAGGGGAACAGAACATCACACAGAATTCAGGGTCCAACCAAACCAGGAGTTTATGGTATGGTGATATCTTCCATTTTGTTCTCCACTCGTTTTCTGCTACATGCCAAGGCTTAACTGCTTCTTAGACTCCAGACAAGCACTTAACTGTAAATTTCATGGATCATTCTGCATATCTCAGTGCGGCCCTCCTAAGTGGCAACGATCAGCTCAGAGACCACCATCTCAGTTTACACCTGTTTTTTCCTCCATGAGCATCACTCTTCTTTTTCTGTACAGAATTTCTATAAGCTTTATTAACCTGTCAGTTGTTCACAGACAGCCCCGGTTCATACTATCCCAAATAACTTTGTAACATCAGAAAACTTGCAAATCCACAACTTGGCCCTTTTCCAAGTAATTTATAAACATGTTAAACAGCACATGTTATACACAATATTCCAGAGAATGCCCATTGGGGGTGACCTTTCTTCATTGTGAAGACTAAACCTTTGCTTCAACCCTCTGTTTTCTAACTTTTACATGTCAATTATTCATGTGGCTCTCATCCTATAGCTGCTTAGTTTTCTTAAAAACCTCTGGTGAGGAACTTCTTCAAAAACTTTCTGGAACACAAGTGAATTTTCAACCTGAGTCACATACTTGTTGAATCCTCCAGCAAGAGGCTGAACATATCAAAGCCAAGCTGATTCTGCCCAGGTAGCCTGCAGTTAGCCAAGTGCAGCTGAGCTCTAGGCCTTAGCTATTGTATAATCTATTAACTTGCCTGGTAAAAATAAGCAGCTGCACAGAAATTTTGATCTTGAAGTGCAGTTCACCCTTGCAATACAACATGAATGGGGGGCAGGGGAAAGTCTACAACAGCACAGATATTCTGTAAATGACAGCTGAAGACAGAAGACAGGCAGTCTTTCAATGCCAAGTTCACCACTCTCACACACCAGGCAACCCACACAGTAGAGAGCCATTACAAATGCATTGAACGGAAGATAAAATTTTGTCTGCAGCTTGTACATTTTCAACCAAAACCAATTTGATTTATAAATTATGATTTCTTAGTTGCCTCCTCACAGAAAGATTCATCTTTTCTTATTCAACCAACCTGAATGCCATCTGTCTTTCTAGGTTGCTGCTGACCCGTCATGTGCACCTTTTACCATGAAGTTCTCAATTTTATGGAAATGTTCGAATGATACCCTAACAATGCTAGGCTTCATATAGATGAAAAATATAAAGAAGCTGGACCATTGAGGATTTTTCAGAAATATTTTAAAATCAGCAAGTACAAAAAAGTAAACCATTGTCTCCTTGTACCTAACATTAAACCTACTGCCTACTTACAGTATTAGCATCAGCACAAAAAGCCTTTGGTGCACTTAAAGAGCTTTTCAGTTTAAACAACAGAAGTATTTTTAAGTTTTAGAAGTTTTTTTTCCACCAACTTTAAGTAAGTTGTAATATCTTTCATAAATATAGTATTAGACTTAGTGGAAAAAAAACAAACAAAAAACCCCCAAACAAACAAAAAACCCAAACAACTTTCGTGAGAGGCCAGTCCTTAACACTTTCCCATTTATCATGATAATGGTTTCTGCATCACTTTGGAGATTTCTTGCAAGATAGAAACTAAAAAATCCCAGTGAAGTAAAAACTACAATTTTTTCATAGAACAGATTTAAACTGTTCCCATTCACAGTAAACTGAGGCCTTCTATCAACATTGCAACTGTAAATTTAATTTCCTGGTCGTTCCCTTCTTCATACTAACACTGAAGTTGTAAGACATACTGAACACTGAAGACTACTAACAAACAAGTCTGTTGTGTTGCCTTTGAAAAGAACATAATTCATCTCTTGATCCATATTTTCACATAGTTCTGAAAGTGCTGTTTATCATGTTCCAAAAAGAAAAATGATCTGAAGATTTCATTTTCCTTTCAGTGAGGAAAAAGAGAGTACCATTTTGAAAAGGATATCTTTGAGAAAAGACAGTTGTCTTGAGGCATCATCTTTCCCCCCCTAAAAAATGGAAGTACCACTCATTTATTTTCTGTAAGTTAGATTTAAAAAGTGGGCTGCAGCTGGAAATTTCACTTTCTAATTTAGTAATTTCTACAGAGTTTTTGTGGCGTATGAAACACATTTCAGGAAAAAAAGATAAATCAGAAGGCATACAGCTGCACGTTGATTCATTTAATTGTAAGTCCTAGCCAAATTACAAATATCCCATAAATCAAAACAAATTGAAGCAGTATTTCAAAAACACATTTAAAACTACCGTTTTCACAATGCCATTTTCTGCAGCTTCCTCTTCACTTCCAGGTGGGGGTGGAGCACTTAAACAAAAACAAACAGGAAAAGATGAAATTAGGTATTTATGCATGTATTATTTCACACAGATCAGCTAATGATGAAAAAAAAAGCTTGCTATATTATTTCAGAGAAGAGTCAAAGTTCCAGCTATTTTTGGCATTAATTAGAAAAAAACAATTTATTAAGACAATCTACAGATGAATATAACTTTATATTAGCAGGATAATATTTACCTATCCTTATACTAACTGGATGTTCTTGGAATAGTTGTAAGTAATAAGGTTCCTCTTTTGAAATCAAAGTCAAATCTTTCACAATACATGAAGGGGGAATAACAGGTTGGGTTTTTTTTTTTTTCCTGACGATTGACACTTTTCAAAGACATTTAAAAAAAAACATTCAAATACCCATAGGTAACGCTGGACCCAGTCAAAAGTCCCCTACCTGCATTGTAACGTTTTCTTCCACCATATGGAACAGCTACAATTCAATGATGAACTGAATTATAACTCTAGTCTGAAAACAGTAAAAATTTTAAAACTACTGGTCCATCTAAAATGGCCAGCACTGTCAAATCCAAATGAGCTCTCTCACTGGGCTTACATACTGCTGTTTATTACACAGCGATATTTTAAATTCTGCAGTTCCATTAACTGCTAGGACGTTGCACCACAAATAGCAGAGTAAGCAGGGAGCCATTTAGAAACAATATTCCTGATATTTCTGAAATGGAGTGAGCAACTGCCAATTTTTATCGAATAGAATGATTTTGATCCTGTCTTCTGTTGGCAAAATATCCACTCCTGAGAGTTGCACCAAACGCCAACAGCCCAGCTATGGTCCCAGGACTCAAGCTTGACCATTTTGCTTCATCACCCAGTAAAATGACAGACTAGCTATTGAACCTGAATAAAACCTCATCATTTTTATATATACAAAGAATGCCAAAATTAAGATACCAGAGACCAAAGCTTTTGACAGGTAAACTGTCACCGCACTTCCAGAGTTCCAAATGCAACTCCTAAGATGCATTAGCACCATGTATTACGTTTTTCAGTCCATAGCTATGCATGGAGGCAGCCAAATGCCAAGCTAGACACTATGGACCAGAAAGGGCATTAAACCACCACTGTTTCTAAAGATCATTTCAGTTGCCATGCAAATAATTTTCTTAACAACAACAGTAATAAAAGATGCCATGTCAAGAAAAGGTAACTGAACACCAAGAATCAACTGATACAGAATAGCTTCCAGATAAAGAGCACATAAATAATTAGAATTACTTGTCCTAGAAAAGAGATGACTCAAAATGAACACAACAGAGGTATAGAAAACTGTTAAGTGAGATAGAAAAGGGGACAGGACACAACTCTTTTCTTTTACTACAAGAACTAATGGGAATTGTTTAATTGCATGTAGTAGCTGCTTCAGAACAGTATTTATTGTACGTAGGCAAGTGGTGGAGGCCATTACTGTGATATCACACTGTGCCTGTCAAAAGTTGACATCAGTTCAAAAAGCAACCAAGCAAGCTTACGGACAAGAAATCCACCAAGGGTAACTGAATTCAAGAGTTGTCATTGAAAAGAAAATCTCCATTGACTTAAAGCATTTATGAAAAAAAAAACACCCTGCATGTTTTCTCACACTGACTGTCCCTTATTGTCACAATCAACACTTCCCATAGTTTATCGGTTGTGAGACTTCTTTCATTCACTACGAGAGTTTCCCTTTTCCAGTCAGTCCTTGCTACCAACCTCCATCAACTCAGCTGGATTTTCAAAGGAGCACCTTTGTGCTTTCTCATACAGCTTCTTGTGACTTAAGCAGGCTCCCTCAACCACTTCCAAAGCTTCTAAATTTCTTTCAAATACTCTCTTACTAATAAAAAAAACCAACCCCAAAACCCTAAGCAGATGTGTTATGCAACCTGCACATCAAACTAGCTGGTGATCTTCCATTGCTTCCTTGTAAACCTCTCTTTGTAACTATGTTGCGAACTCCCTGGGAGACACCGTCTTTTAATTTCTAAATTATCTACAACAAAGTCCTGATTCATTGCTAAGACTGCAAAGCACAATGATTACAGAAATAAACCTGTTGGCATTCTGTGAGGGGCTACTGCCATCCATACAGTTAAAACTTAAGATAACTTTCATACTTAAGTGTCCCAGTTTCACAGGTAAAACCATTTCACAGGAAAGCCTAGCAGACTAAACATACTATCTTAAGGGGATTTTCAAAGACAGCAGAATGTGTTCGGGCTGTGGTCTTTCATGCAGCTGGGAAGAAGAAGGTAATGACTACAGTTTTTGTGCAGCCATGCTACAGGGCTTCCAGCTGTCAAGATACTCACCTATCTTTTTCTTCCTCTGGTCTCTCTGGTTCATTTTCATCTACCACAAGAGAAAAGAGACACAGTAGTTAAGAATAAAATTCCCTGAATATTAACTGCGACAGGTACCTTGCCATGCAGGTTATTAGGCAACTCTTTAGTTTTGTATTGAGATCTTTTCCTGACATTTCAATTGTGAGATCAGCTGAGCAGACCCCTGAGCGCTCAGAGTGCTCCATACTCAGAAGTCCACTACAGGCGCAGGGTTTAGTTTACAGGTTTCATGACGATTTGAAGGTAAAGAAACTCCTTTAAGTTGTGAAGAAAGTTTACACTTAAGCGGTTAAGGCCGCTTCCGCCCTGGGAGCCCGGGCAGGTGGGTGGTGGGGA